AATGTCAGTGTATTTGGGAAATTGAAAGAAGCCCAGTTTGGCTGGCACTTCACAGCAGCAGGATGTAGGGCATGAAATGAAATTGGAGACACAGCAAGCCACTGGATCATGAGAGCCTCATGAGCCAACATAAATGTTGGGCTTGATTCTAAAAACTCTGGGATGCCCCTCTAGGCTGTATCTGCTCCAATCTTCCTGGCTGCTTGGGGAACAGACTGGAGAACACAAGCATAGATTAGGGGAGACAGCTTAGACGCTCAGACTCATTCAATAATACCTTTAGTCTTTTTGACTCTTCAAAGGGGACAAAAGTGAGAAGGACAAAATACATGTTTCTACTATGTATTATACAGATAGAAAAGTGAGAAACGATGGTATGAAAGAGACAAATGCTTAGGAGGAAAGTAATCCTGAGCACAGTACAGAAACTGGCCTGTTCAGGAGGAGTGGCTAGAAAAGGGGGTGCTTGAAACCAATATCTCACTGTCCTGTAATGTATCATGGTGCCAGAGAGCAGGCTGAGGGCACCAGTGGAGATGACTGGGATGGGGTAGGGGGAAAAGTCACTGGAAACAGACCATGGAAAGAAGAGAGCAGAGAGCACGATGAATCTTTTAAGTGGCACTGGATCCAGGTGGAGAGAAAGGCCATCAGATCCAAAGCACAGCAAGATGAAGTGAAGACAGTGGTACAGTGTAAAAGAAGGCAGGATTTTGCAGCCAGATAGGGAGACAGGCTCAGAAGATACACTGCACTGAGATCAAGGAGATAATGGAGCAGAGAGAAAAAAGAAAACAGTCTCTGTTTGAGATGCTACAGGAAAAGTAGAGACTGGAGAACAATCAGTTTTTTGTTAGGGAAAAGGGGGTGGCAGACTCTTCCACAAAGCAGTGTAGGATTTAGAGGAACTTGATGGATAAGGCACAAATATTCCATCAGCTAGAATGGAAGACTGGGGAGGAGGGGAGGCAAGGGGTTTGACGGCCTGGATCCTGGGCTGAGCAGAGCAGTGCAAGGGTTGCATTTTGTGGATAGAATCATCTGTATGTGTTCACTAATATTTTAGTAGACCAAGAGAACTAGGTCAACCTTAGATAAGGCAGGGATGAGAAATTCTCTGAGATTACAGAAAACAGATGTCAGCATTAGTATCTGTGCAGCCTGGGTAAGCTGAAAAGATTAATAACAGACAGCAAGCATGGTGCTTCATCCTTACTGGGTTGTACACAGTATGGAGGCAGGCAAGGAAGGAGAGACGCAAAATCTCCCTACACTTGAAAAGCACCTTGTACAGTTGTACAGAGCCCGAAGGGATGAGTAAAAATGCAGAAGCATAATCAAAACTAGTGGAATAATATAGAACTTTTATTCTCTGTGAAAAGTTCTGCCTCTGAAATTCTTCATTCATGACAAATTGATTTCATCCTCTCCAGATCATCCTCGGCTTCTAAAGAGGGTGTTGCCACCCATCACCATGACCACCGCTGGACACTGAAGCCTCCTTTCCCTGTGGCTGGAGTGTTGCTGTTGAAAGCTGTCAGCTGATTTCCTTCCTGGGACTTGCCCTCAAGAGGGCCTGGAGAGAGGATAGCATACATACAATGACTAATCCAGGGTGGTTCTCAATGGGGGACCTCTTTGAAGGATCAACCCTATTTCAAAGGTCTTATTTTGGGGCTAGAGGACTCATAAACAAAAATTGAAGACAAATTTATTTTCTTCTTCCCTTATGTTCACGGGCCTGTGTTTCTTTTCTCCACGTAGATGTGAAAAGCTTTCTGCATTTCAGTGCTAAGGTCTCAGTTTAGAGGGTCTGGCATTTTCAGGTGTTAGTTTGCTTGACTTTGTAGGGGAGAAGATAGAGGCAGGAGTTTGAGGTGAAGAGAGCCAGCCTTAGAGATGGACATCCCAACTGCTGGTAAGATTGTTGGGAAAGGGGGTGTCTTCTGGTCAGTGGAGTCCTGTACCCCACTCTTACGTGGGTTGCTGGGGGAATATGAAGAAGCAGAAACATCTGGGGAGGGGGTGCATTGCTCCCCTTTCAACAAATTTTAAGGAGATATGTTGACATGGCATTTGTCAAAAGTATACAAAAAAAAAAAAACCCACAAAAACAACACTTTAGTTTGATGTGTTTCAAAGTCTGCATCATCAAAATCACCAGATCACCTGGATTGGTTGCTAAAACACAGGTTGCTGGGCCCCACTTTCAGAGTCTGCTAGAGTAAAGAGGACTAAAATGTCCATTTCTAAAAACTTCCTAGGTGATTTTGATGCTGCTGTCCAGAACCATTGTGTTAGAGAAAACAGATTGAAAGTGAGACAAGACACATAACATAGCCCAAAGCTGTGTCTTTTTATTCCATTTGCTTGCTCAGCTGCAAGCTAGAGTGCCTCCCACCCGATCCCTCAGCTCAGGACCCCATTGTTAGAATGTCTCTACCTCTTCCTTGATGGCATCTGGCACTCTGGATCTGTAGACCCAAGTCCTAAATGGAGCTGCCAGCCCTCACCTGGACCATGCTGGCTGGAGGGAAGTAAAATTGATGTGATTGTTTGTGCAGCTTGAGTAATGTACAAAACTGACCAATAGATGGCAAGAGTGAGGCTAGGGTTCAACAGGTGCCCCACCCATTTAGCTGGGGGGCTGGAGTGGATTGCACCTGCCCCTGGCACATTCTTTGCACAAACCATCCTCTGTCCCTCACGCAATGTACTGTCTTAGGGGGAGAGTGATCAAGTCTGCCCAGAGCAGGGTCTTTTTTCTAATTTGCTTAGAGGCCTAGTGTACCTATGCTGAGTCCTACATAGAAGGGTAAAGTGGGAACACAGCTGGAAAGGTTCTTTTTAAAACCCCCAAACAATCCTAGGGTGCATGTGTGACTCTAGAGAAGAGCCAGCTTTCCTTAGAGTAGGGGACATTGATTGGGTTGACTGAGTTTCAGTGTGCTTTAGAAAACAGAGGAATGTTACACTTCTTGTCCCTGAGCACGTCACCTTGTGTTAGCAGTCTCTGCATTACCTGATGTGTGGCTGAGTTCAGCGGGTTCCAGTTGTAAGCAGCCTCAGGGACACCAGGGAACTTGTGAGAATCAGGCATTTTGGGACCCAACCCAGCCGTGCTGAATCAGAAAACCTGGGCTGTGGACCAGCTGGCTGTTTAATGAGCTCCCCCTCAACCAGATGATTCTGATGTGTGTTAGAGTTTGAGAGAAACTGGCTTAGAGCATCCCGCCTCCAACAGGCCTAGAAGTCTAAGGATCTTATTACATCAGATCCTGAGGCTGCAGTCCTGGGAGCAATCTGTCTCTTCTGGCTGATGAAAAGTCAGGGGTTGTGGAGAGTAACAAGACAGCAGGGCCATTATTCGAAGTGTGTGTTCCTTGTTTAAATGCGCCCTCTGGGACCCTCGCTCACATTCTCAAAACAAATAATGATTATATGTGGCAAAATGCAGGATTCCACTGCAGTGTGGAGTTTGCAGAATCAAATTGGCTTCCTTCATCACCTCCAGATTCTTTCTCCCTACTAGTTTGATGCCAGAATTGGCTTTTTGCCTTCAATATTTTTACCTTTTTATATCTTTCACCCTTCTCTATTTAGCCCTCAACTTCCATTTTATCATTTAATTGATAACCTACATTTTGGGATTGTCATGGAAAACACCTTGATTTGATGGTTCTTGCAGATTCTAGAAATGGAGGCAGGCACCCAGGGTCTCTGGGTCTCTGAGCCCTCCTCCAGGTTTAGGATGGCTTTTCTAATAGCCAGCTACTCCTTTATAATGAAGAGGAAACTGGGAAGAGAGTTATATCCTTATATCTTTAAAATAGGAGTTAATTTGCTGATAGTGGCCTTACATGACAAAAATGGTATTTTAATCATATTCCAGTGGCCATAACTTCAAGGTCAGAATTAGGGTGGACTGGCAAGCTAAAAAAAATTTCCTGATTATATTTATCAGACTAAAGTAAGATTCAAAAACCCACATATTCCCTGTGAGTAGCAAGGCAGAAATTTACTTTGGAAATAAGCATCATAGGGTAATGCTAACTGAAACTGTAAATTCTGAACAATCTTTGAGCTGATAAATGGGATTCTTTAAGCTAAATCAAATTTAAAGAATAAGAAAATGTTCAATTCTTTTAGAAAATTTGGTATTAAAAAAGAACGGGTTATAACAGGGAGAAGAAATCTTCCTTAAGTGTAGTTTACATTTAATATGGATTATGTTATAGGAGAGCATTTCTTTAAAAGTTTCAGCACAGAATTGTTAGCCATAAACCTAATTCTTGCTGATTCACCTGTTTCTGATCAATGCTTCTTTGATAACACGGTTTATCAATGTCAGAAAATATACTTGGTTATTTCCCTGAAATACTAAGGTGAAACTACTTGGTGTAAAGACAATTTTAGCCCCGGATTGCCCATGGTGGTTTTGCTAGAGGAGCCTGTTAAGTTAGAATGCATTAATCTGCAATGTGTGGTTGCCTGTCCATCATGGCCCGATTTTATCTGCTTTATAAATGAGGTTTTTAATTTAGAATCTAGACACTGAAAGAAAGCCTTAGGCGTCTAGTAGTAACTATAGTCGGGAATGTGAGCAATCTGAAACAAAAGAATCTGGTGCACTTTCAATGAAATTATTTTAATTCATTGAATTCCCTGAGAATTCCAGTCTTGACCATCTATTCCAAGAGCATGCAGTAGGTGGCACCTAAACGCTCTTTGGAGGCGAGCAGGCGCCATTTAAGCAGGAGCATCCACCGCTGCAGCAGTTGGCACAGTTAAGTCCGAGATTGAAGAGGGGAGGAGGTGGGGAAGGCTGGAGGATGGTGGGGTGGCAGTGAAGGCTCCGGGCCCGCCCGGGCTGGGCAGAGCAGGTGCGCTGGGGGCGCGGGGCACACGAGCCCGGGCGCAGGTGCGCGGGGGCGCGGGGCGCACGGGCGGGCAAATAGCTGACAGCATCGTCACGGCGGCGCGAGGGAGCTCGCGCCCCGCCTACCTGCGGGAGGAGCCCGTATCCGCACAGCCTGCGCTGCCCGGTCCCATTCGAGGCGAGCTCAGAAGCAGCTCTGGGAAGAGTTGTGTTCATCCTCAGGTAACCGAGGTTTCTCTTCCTTTGCCGTGGGCTCGCTGCTTCTGCACTGGGGCACTGGCAGCTTTTGCATTCGTGTCTGCTAGTGCCTTAAAAGGGCTTACTGCTATCTGGGAGGGCGAGTCAGCAATATAAAGATTGGAGTAGATGAGAGAGTAAAAAACTGCATTTCTGTATCCTTGTCAGAGTGAGCATCTTGATACTTTTATAAAAATATCCTTTAAAAAAAAAAATCTGTATCTTACACATTATTTGAAATTCCGAAGCAGGAGTTTGTGTTTTAGAAAATTATACGGTGCAGGTGTTTCTGTTATGTAGAAGTTGATTTACTGGTTTCACGGGAGTCCTGAAAAGATCTGGTCCAAAGTGAGAGCACGTTAGAGGCTGCTGTTTTGTTTCAGCGTGTTTTCGTACTAGAGCGGAGCTCTTCGCGGGCTTGGCTGAGACTTGGCTAAATGTTTTAATTCTCCTTTTAAAGAATGCGTTTCATGATGTCTACATGTGTTTCTTCCTGTTTTGTTGTAAGAAGAGAAGATGGGAAAGGTGCCGCATCCCATCTTTAGTTGTAAGATTGTGGTTCCCATAAGATGACAATGACTGCTGACAGCTCCCAGGCTCGTCTGCAAAGCATTGTTGGCTTCTTGCCAGGTGGGAACCTGCCTGAGTCTTCTGTCCTGAAAAATGCTCGTTTTCCCCTTTAAAACTCTAGTTCACGTTCTATGGGGGTTTGGGAGACTTAAACTACAAGCTCTGTGAATCGTGTTATGTCCATTGAATGGTTATCTACATGGCTGTGGTGGAATTCCGTTTCTTCCCACTGTGCAGTGACACAACTTGCCTTCCTTAGGAATTTATTCTACATATTTGCCCACATTATTTTTTGAATGACCCCTTTCCATGTGAGAAGTTAGTCCTAGCATAGGGGACCTTTTCTGTTTGGAACTGAAAACTTGAGGAAAAATTTCTTTTTAAGGAAGATTTTCTAGGTAACAGTAAAAGGTTGGAGCATTTTACATTCCAAATCAGTCCAAATGTGATTCTTTCCCAGTGACATTTGGATTCGAGGAGGTGGAGTGGGAGGGAGAGAAAAGGGGAGGATAAAATTAGAATAAATTTAACAAATTTGTGAGGGAATAATACTTTTTTTTTTTTTGGTCGTTGCCTGAAATTGCAAATTGTCAACAATTCTATCTTTGGAAATGCAGGAGATCCTATGGCTGAGATGCAGGAAAATCCATAGTTCATTTTGCAGAAACAGAAGACACAAAACAAGGAAGCATTTTCATCTTGTTTAACACATGGCATTTAATTTGGTAACAGGGACTCCAGTGCCCAGTGAACTCAGGAAGCAGGGTGGGGAGAGGTGATTGTCGTCTCTACCATCGCACACAACTGCTGCTCAGTTATGTCTGCAGATGGCAAATATATATGCACAGCTCTTGCAGAAATCTCCAGAATCCTTTCTTGTTACAGCTTTAGTAGAGTTGTTCCAAAGAAGAGACTCAGAAAACACTCACATTGAATTCCAAGTTGTGGAAGTCTCTTTTCAGCTTGTGGCTAGCAAGTATCATTCTCAGCAATCAACAGTGCCATCTTACCATGGGAAGAACAGAGAAGACTTTATTGATGTCATGCTGTGCATCTCCTAGGAACCACACCTGACTTTATTAGAAATATATTTTAGAAGTAAATACTGTCTACACTGAAATCTATGTATCTTAGTGAAAAATTAAAACCTTTGAAAACTAACAAGCTTCTTTTATCAAAAAGAGAGTATAGCTGTGATAATAAAAATCATATGTTCGTTTTTCTAATTTTGTGGCCATACTTGATATATATTAGTATATTGGAAATTAACCTATTAATTTAGACACAATCATTATTTTCCTCCAAGATAAAGGCAGTCAGTTTTAGCACAGGAGAATTTCTTTGTTACAAAGAGGAATGTTTGGCTACCTGGGTGAGGAGGTTGCCTGCCAGGTATTTTAAGTTAAAATGGACTCAGTGCTGACCTGTAACTTTCAATTCAGATGACCATGATGCCCCATTCCCACTTACATGGGGAACTGAGTTTGTCTGTTTTGTTGGTTTGCCCATTATCCATTTATCATCCAGCTCTCAGCCGTCTATTTAATAATCTACTTGGTATGGATGTTTATAATGGACAGATGTCTCTTTAAAGGCAGAATTGATTTCTAGGACACTAATTGGCTTTGGGTATGATTTTTCTAGGAAAATAGCTACTCTTAAAAGGACAGGTGATGATTGTCATGTTGTCATGATTGCTAATGTTCTTTTACACATTAAATTGATGCATGTATGCACATTTAACAATTAACTTAAAATTATTTTATTTCAAATTATGTTTTAGTTTTTATTTTTATCATGTGGTTTGCAAGTCTGGGTTCCTTGACCAAGTAAGTATTTTTTAAAGTATTTGGGACAAATGCCGTCTTGTCCTTTCTTCCTTTGCTTTTGTCACGGGCAAATTCAGGAAAGGAAGATTGCTTGTAGCTCTCTCCTTAGTGCTGTTAAGTGTCTTCCCATAAATCAGTACCATCCAATAGAAATAGTGTGTGAGCCACATGCATAGTTTAATATGTCCTAGTAGTCATGTTAGAAAAGTAAAAATAAATAGGTGAAATTAATTTTAATAATATATATTCTTTAACCCAGTATATTAAAAAATGACCATTTAAAGATGTAGTTAATACATAAATACTAATGAGACATTTACTTTTCTTTTTTTTTTGCTAATTCTTATCCTAACAGAGCACCTTGATTCAGAGTAGCTATGTTTCCAGAGGTCCATGGCTAGTGGCTGTTGTATTAACCAGCACAACTATAGAATGTTAACCTTTTGGCAAAGCAATTTAAAAGCTGAAATATTAGGAGCTTTAAATTAAACTGATTAAATACTATCAAAAACATATATACAAATGATCTCAAATTGCTATAAGACCCGTGTCCTACTCTTCCTTGCCATTAACTAGTTGTGCAGTCTTGAACCTATTTTTACTACTTCATCAGTAAAACAAGAGGATTGGGTCAAATACTTCCCTTGGTTTTTATGAAAAATAACCAGTAGATGTGAATTCAGCCCGCATGCAGCTTAGAGATCTACTGTCGCAGAAACAAAGGGAGAAGACCTTATGGTGGACCTTGCCGTTTTGCTCGTTTGCTTTGGTCCAGTCCCTGGTGACAGATGTCAGCATGTGAGGTCCCATGCCTCATTGGAGGCCATTCCATTTTCATATTTAAATTACTGGACCAATAGCAGCAAACCTATTGGAAAATCAATAAATAGTGAGCTAGCATTTAGGTCTTTTTATATTATCCTTCACTGGCATACATATCTTCAATGCTGTTAGCTATTTGGTTCAATACCATTAAATAAAGTTTGGTTAATTGTAATACTTTATGATTGACTGATCCATGAGTAGTGACGTCTGTTTTGGGGTAGGGGTGTTGAGAATTTTAAATTCATTTTTATTGGAGTAGAGTTGCTTTAAAATGTTATGTTAGTTTCTGCTGCGCAGGAAAGCAAATCAGCTATGTGTATACATATATCCCCGCTTTTTTTGGATTTCCTCCCCATTTAGGTCACCACAGAGCTCTGAGCAGAGTTTCCTGAACTATTATATATAGTAGGTTCTCATTAGGTATCTATTTTGTAAATGGTATCAACAGTGTATGCATGACAATCCCAATCTCCCAATGCATCCCCTCTCCATTTCTCTTCTTGTGTTGTGTGTTTGTTCTCTGTGTCTATGTCTCTCTGTTTCGTAAATGAAATCATCTTCCATTTTTCTAGACTCCACATATATGCATTAATATATAATATTTGTTTTAGGAGTGACTTTCTGGTAGTTCAGCTGGTAAAGAATCCTCCTGCGATGTAGGAGACTCCGCTGTGATTCCTGGTCAGGAAGTTCCCCTGGAGAAGTGATAGGCTACCCACTCCAGTACTCTTGGGCTTCCGTGGTGGCTCAGATGGTAAAGAATCTGCCTGCAGTGTGGGAGACTGGGGTTTAATCCCTGGGCTGGGAAGATCCCCTGGAGGAGGGCATGGCAACCCACTCCAGTATTCCTGCTTAGAGAGTCCTGTGGACAGAGAAACCTGGCAGGCTACAGTCCATGGGGTCGCAAAGAGTCGGACATGATGGAGCATGGCATAGCACAGAGACTTCTTGACACGTGGATATGAATGTCCTTTTGAAAAGATGTCAGTTTCTTCCCCCAATTTCTGGATAGCTTCTGTGATCAATGAGTGCTGGTGGGCATGGGTACAATTTCTATTATATGACTCTCTGCCTTCGAAAGGATTGTAGGACATTTAAAGAGAACTACGTTTTGTACGAAAGAAGTTTATATGCTATTTTTCCAAAGCTAATGAATGTCTGAAAAGTGAATTTTTTCTGAAGAAATAAGAGAACAGAGGAACTTTGTATTAGGCCTTTCTATAGTAATGAATCTCTCTGTCTCTTTCTCTCCTCTGCTCCTACCCCCTCAGTTTCTGAAGCTGGGCTCCAGATGGGTCTAGCTACTTATCAGTATTTAGACAGAGAAGCCTTTGCAGGGGTAAACTTTCCTTCTTATGTCCTCTTTACACTCAGATTGTTTTATTGGAGCACCTCTGTGATTTTTGAATTTGGACTTTACCTTTGAATGATACTGAGCAAAGAGGAAAAATGATCAGTACCCAGGTCTTTGCATCCAGGGCAAAGCCAGTTCTCTCAGGTCTCTCTCACTTTAAAAATCCAGCTCAAAGGCATTTTCCTTTTGGTATGAACTTGAATGCATCTCCCCAAGCCCCATACCCAGCTGCCACGCCGTCATTACACGCACACCTATAAGAGCAGTGGATTATCTCATTGTATTCTTGAAATAGTCCCCTGAGATTTTAGAAAGGCCTTTGTGGAGTAGTCCCTGACACTTAAAGAAAGATTGTGCTTCTCTTTGGAGGCTCCTTTAGACTTTGTTGGGTTCTTGAGGAACACTAA